GGAAGGCAGGCATTGGCCGCTCTCCGCCCTCGGCCGACTGGACCCGATGGGCCTTGGGATGGGCAAAGGTGGGATGGGCAAACGTTCCAGCTTTGCCCCCAGTGACGGGGGAGCAGGAGAAACCAAACTCCCAGAGCCTCAGCCCTGGCCGTGGCCGAGCCCCTCCGACCAGCCTGGCTCCCCGGCCCCGGGCTCCTGCTGGGCGGCCTGCACCCCGGCCACTCCCGACAGCACCCCTGCAGGCTCACACTCCCTCCCGGGAGCCCCACACCATGGCACTTCCTTTAATGTCTCTAACATGTTCGAGACCTCAGGCAGGCTGAACACGGAGTCTATGGGTGAGGCTCACAGATGAATGTATATTCAAACATTCTCCTTTGAGAAGTTTAAGATAAATTGGTCAAAAAGCCATAAATTCCTGGCCTAGCTGCTGTCAAGGGGCATTTTGGCTGGCGTCTTTTCTGGCAGGGCTGTGCACACCCACAGCAGCGAACAGTGGGCAGCTGGTGCCGGTGAACACGCGTGCACACTTGTGGAGGCACGTTTTGCAAACCTAATTACAAATGGAGTGGGGTCGCGTCTCAGTGGCCGGGTCTTGGAACCACCTTTGCAGAGGTTTTTTGCAAACCTAATTACAAATGGAGTGGGGTCACGTCTCAGTGGCCGGGTCCTGGAACCACCTTTGCAGAGCTTCGCAAACACCACGGTGGGTGGAAACGACCCTGCACACCTCCCTGGGCAGGCACCCTCTCCCCTGGGGCTCTCCGAGCAGCAGGCACCATGCCTCGGATGTCATGTGCTCATGAAGGAGCACCAGACACACACCCTGTCGTCACACGCTGTTCTGGGTGGCTGGGGTAGAGCCTCCAGCTCCGGCTCGGGGTCTGCACGGTGATCGCTGATGCTGCTAAACTCTAACCCATTTAGCGGGCCCTGCCCTCCTTCCCCCTGCTTCCCTCGCTCTTCCTTCCACTCTTCGCTAAACAAAGTGCTGCTCTCTTAGAACGCTGGGCTCCGCTGCCTTCGTGCTCAGCAGCTACACACACCTGGAGCCACTCCGGTGGCCGCCCTGCCTGTGGACATGCACTGACAGGCTCAGGGTTTGCAAAACCGTTTCCAATGGGTGCGACCTCACGCCAAAGTCCCCGAAGCTGCCCCAGATCACAGCTCGGCAAGTGGGCACAGAGGGCCTGCCTGGGCTCCGGCACCTCTGCCGGTCACCGCGTGGCTGAGCAGGCGTGCACACACATGGGGCTCACACGTGAGGCATGCACACACGGGCTCACACACACTGCTCACTGGGCTCTGCCTTACCTTCACGGCGTACTCTGCGTCAGTGGCTTTATGCACGCATCGCTTACACACTGAGTAGGAGCCCACCCCGATGTCCTCCTTGACCTCGTAGCCGTCGGTGAAGTGGACATTGTTCCCATGGAGCTGCTGCAGAGGCA